ATAATCATTGGTTTTAAGTAGACTTCAAAACTTTTGGGCGGAACCGCTTCCGTCGTCACCGTGTGTTTGTGTAATCCGATACTGAATGTATGAAATATCAGGTTGCAGGAATCGTTTTAGGAGGACTGGGAGGAAGCTCCCCTCATATACGTATCATATACCATCAGTGATAATCGGAGGGTGGAGAAGCAGATATCCGAGATGTCGAGTTTGGTGAAGCCGAGAGTTGATAAGTATTTCGCCGAAGCCGGATATATAAATCCCCGATTGTTTAAGATAATTGGATGGTGGTAAATCTCGCGTGTTTTGGGGAATTGTGCGCTTATATAATTCGAGATCATTGATGCGTTATTTCCGGAGCCATATTTGTCGACCTTCAGCTGGTGCGTACGCGCCATGCGGTCGGCGTCACAAATTCCGACATCCATGACGTGCACCGATGATCCCTTTACTGCGATTATATCTGGCTTGATGAATTAGGTCGCTGTTGGAATTATTGGTTCGAGGACGATGTTCACTGTTCGTTTGCGGAGTTTTTGGCGACTTGTTCTGCAATGACATTGTGGCGTTTACATCGTGCTTCATGGTTAATGCCACATGATTGTAGGACATGGGACAGAGTCTCCTTTTGTCCACAGTTGCCGCGACATAGTAGCTCGGATTGGGTCTCAGGCGGTCGTCCTCTTGCGCGTCGTACTTTTGTAGACAGTAACCCACCTCGAAGCTGTATTGCTCGAAAGAACAGTCCAGGGAATATCCTAGTCGGATTCCGTAGCCAGTGATGTGCAGCGGGTGTGGTGACCACTCCCCGGAGCGGGCACCCGTCTGCTGAGGTAAGTAGCGCGTCTTTCCATGCTTCCGCGGTTGATACTTTATCCATCACCACTCGGTTGCCGATGGTAACATTGGAGCGCGCCAGTCGATGAATGGAGCCAGCTGCGGGATCTTTGATGGCCCAGCTAGTAATTGGGTGTGCATTATTAAGATGTCGTTCTAATCGGTCCTTCCGTAACAGTGGAATAGTGGCGGATAAGCAGGGTATACCGATACCAAAGTCCCCGATTGAGGCGTGGAAATAAGCCAGATTTGTGTCAGTGGGCAACCGGAGCAATTTTCTCACATGTGCTCGAACAAGCCTGTCCATGCGTTTTAGCGTCTGTTTGTGGACAACGGCCAAGCAGAGTTTATGAAGATGCCTTGGAAGCAGGAACGTCTTCAGAAGCTCCAAGCGCTGGTAGGGTTTTAAGGGCGCTTTTGTAACTTCTTTTAGTTGAGCACGTAACTCGCCTGCGGAAGTTGGCGGGAGCTTACCTTTCCAACTAAAAGGCAAGCCTAGCATCGTGAATTTCCCTTCTGGTTGCAAGGAAGGAATAATGCAATCTCCACAGTCTAAAGGGGCGGTGTCCAGTATCGTTAATTTTCTTGAACGGTCCACTACAATGTTGACGGAGGTTGACTTCAGCTAGTTGATGGACAATCCCATGAGGGCCAGTTTATCACTGAAATGTCGCAAGCGCTTCTGCAGCGAAAACCGGTCCTGAGCAAATATCAAGACGTCATCGGCGTAGGCGAGATAATCAATTGGCCCTACTGGGGATGTCCAGGGTTCAGAGGGTAAATCTTGCAGAGCTTCGTCCAGCGTCATGATAAATAGTAAGGGAGAGAGTGGGTCTCCCTGTCTAACTCCTCGTTCCGGATGGAGGTGAACATTGTTGAAAGTGGAAGTAGCTGAGGAGTAGTAGGAAGCAAGGTAATCCAGTAGCAGAGGGGGTGCGCCAAAAGCAGAGGCTGCGCGTAGTAAGGACTGATGAGAAATAGAATCAAAGGCTTTGGAAATATCAATTGAAGCAAAGGAAAGTGGAGAGTATGAAGAATGCGCGTGTCGCAGTGCGGCGTGCATTATCGCAGGTGCTTCAAAGCATCCATCCTTACGTAGGAAGCCGAATTGTAGACGATTTGAAGGAAAAGTGGGAACCCAGCGGTCAAATAGGATTCGATGAAGCAGACGAGTAAAGACGGAAGTGACGGAAATAGGCCGAAATAACTCAGGAGAAGAGGGTGCATCTGCCTTGGGAACAAAAGTGATCCGTGCTGTATTCATGTGTGAAGAGAAGGGCGAAGAAGCGAGGAGAGCGTTGAGAAACGCAGTTACAAAAACGGGGTCCATCCTCAATACATCCCGTGGTGTGACACGGTCAACCCCCGGTGCAGAGCCTTGCATCTGACGAATCGCTGCGCGCAGCTCCTCTTGGGTGATGGGTCTCACCAAATCCGGGTTAGTGGGGAGGATATTGCGAGGTGGACGGTCGTCATGTACTGGAGGCTGAGAAATGACTTTTGTCCAGAAGTCCGTAAAACCAGGGATACGGTCGTCTTCTTGCAGGAAAGCCGTTCGCCATCTGCCATCAATAACGGTTGCTGCTGCATCTTTACGCCTCGTATGATAGAGACGTTGGATGTGGCCATATTGTAGGCGTCGGCGTTGCTGTTTGTTCTTAATGACTGGCGGTACCTTTTTGCGTTTCGTCGGCGCCCATCTACGAGGGAATAGGCTGGTACATGCGGCATTAAGCTCTCTACTATATTGTTCCCGCGAGATGTCGTCCGGTAGGGAAAGCAGCATGTTGAGAAGCAGGGAATTTGGTTCGTTATTGGCAGCTTTGCACCCACGCGCCAATCGTTGAGCCTCCGCGAGCAGAAGGCGGAATGGGGCTGTGTCATCGACCATCTGTGTGGTAGAATGCGAAACTGAGACTGCGGAAAGGGAGGGAGGATTGATCAAGTCAGCAGGAGCACTGAGAGGCAAAAGTGTGGACGTGGGCCGTGGCTCCGATTGGGAGTTTAGTCTATCGTCCGCGTTTAAGGGTGAATCCTCTCGCCTCAAAACAACGTCCTCCAGAGTGCTTTGTGATGCATCCAGGTCCACGGGAAGTAGACAGAACCCAGTCAGGATGGTGGGGTTGGCTTTCTGTATTGTGGATGAAGCAACTGTTGCAGCGGAAGTATTATTGTATGTATTACGTCGAGCAATCTTGTTCGTCGGTGGGGGGATGCTGGCAGCATGGATGTCTTCGGTTGCCACATTCCGGGTAAGTTGTATTAGTGAGTCATCTGATGTCAAGCATAACGAGTTCGAGGGTGTACACTGGCGTCGCTGCAGCGGTGAAAGGGAGGACGGTTGAATAAGTATCGGAGCGAGCGAAACCCGAGACTCTACACACTGCGCACGCCAATCAGCACAGTGCCAACCGATGCGCTGCAGACGTTTCCGTATGCCCTCCTTCGTCCGCGATGGGAATGCCGTCTGTAATTTGTGAAGTAAAGTAACGAGTTTAGGGCAGGATCTAGCAAGGTTTGAGGCCGCTTTACTTAGCTGTCTATCTTCCCTGGCCGACCAAGTAAAGGATTGTGCAGGAAGTCGTGCTAGACAGTCTGCATTGTATTGGACGGAATGTCGATGTCGTCGGTGTTGTGATAGGCCTCTTTGCGAAGCAAAGGAACGCCGGCAGGTATGGCAGCTGAAATCGTGGAAATTGGCTGCGGCTGCAGAAGCCAGAAAGACTGTTGGATTCCTTCGGTGGGCGGCGAGATGTCTCAGGAGACCACTGCGTGTCTTAAAGGTCCGAGGGCATAAATCGCAAGTTATAAGTTGTGTTACGGTGGAAACCGGTGGGGTGGGTGGCAAAGGGTTCGCGGGAAAAGAAACAGGATGATACGACTTCATTGCCTGGTAAGTAGGCAGTTGCGAGGAGGGACAAGGAGGAGAGACATATGGAAGTGTTGTCACGATGCGTGTGGGGGACGGTGACATAGGGGAGCGGTTCCGCAGGCTGGATTCGGATGCAGCAGAGGCTGATCCGTTTGCAGTGTTGGTATATCAATGGCCAACCCAAAACTTACTGCATTGCAACGTCAGCAAATGAAAGGTGCTTTCTATCCGCCATCAGAGTAGCTACTCATACCGGCTCGGAACGAATCTAGTACAACAATCAACTTACGAACGTGACTTGGGTGTCCTGGTTCAAGATGACTTGGGTTGCTCCAGGCAATCCGAAAAGGCCCCGAAGACTGGAAACCAACATGTCGGGCTGTTATGATGAGCATTTGGGTAAACAAACAGCTTTATATTTTGACAAATGCTCAGTGCGTATGTTCGCCCCCACATGGAATACGCAATTCAAGCCTAGCATCCATGGCTGAAACACGACCTTAGTGTACTGGAGCAGCCACAGCGTCGGGCATCTAAGAACGTAATTGGAATTCGCAATCTTTCAAACCAAGAGAGGCCGCAACGATTGGGGGTATTCAGCGGAAGTTATCTCAGACTACGAGGCGACCTGATTATGGCACACTTGATTCCGCAAGACCCACATCATGTGTGCCGCCCTTTACTGCTACTCAGCACTAATACAAACCTGAGGAGCCGCGCATTGAAACTCGCTGTACAGTATAACCGCCTGGAGTGCCGCAGGAATTTCTTTTCCATTCGTGTCTGTCACCCGTGGAATGCTCTCCCAGAATCGGTCGTCTCTGCACCGACACTAACAGTGGTTAAAAGACGGTTAGATGATGCACTCATCCACTTACATTTTGTCACTTGGCACTACATCTCCATCTCACACCTGGAGTTTACCATGCAATTATTTGATGTTAACTGCGGGTGCTTTGAATCTAAGCAGATTGTAGGACTACGGCGGAGCAAACCACAAGTGCTTATTTTCATATCTAAAGTACTAACTGTTTTACTATCATTATTATCATTGGTATTATTATTATTGCGATATCTTCACCAACCATCCAACGGGACTTGTAAAGCAACAATTCTTAACCCGTATAAATACACTGTTCATTGTTCATTGTTCATGCCCACGGCTAGTACTTCAACATACATTGGGATGGAACCTATACCCAAATATACCCATACTGGCCTCCTCTAACACGTTTCTAACTTTGCTTATTTTATAGCAATGAAAGCCATCTTCCGCACTTTTTTATTCTAGTTTCATACGTGTATTTGCAAACCACACTACACGGGTCAATTTTGTACCGAACGTGTGGATGCTTGCAGAGACCGTGTGCGGCACGCGTATCTGCCTGGTGGTGGTATGGTGGTGGCCGGCGACACTGCGTGCAACGTGAATTCGGATAAGAATATGTGCCGTTCCTACCTCAGTGCCGAAGGATTCGTTTCCTACCGCTGCAACTGCGATGAAACTAAGTGGATTCCCGACCCCTCACTGACATATGACAATTGTCTGAAACGTCGCACTACTTGTGACTCACTTATGTGTGTGAATGGCAAATGTGTCACAAGCGAGCGAGGAACGCAGGTGAGCCAACCACTTAGGTAACTCTAGATTTCTGTCGGAATTCCTTTCTTTCATATGGAAAAGTAACAAGCCAAGGTGAATATATTGGCCTGCTCTACTAACATATATTGGCAAGATAAAGGTTCCCATATCAAGGGAATTCAACTGTGAACATGTTTTGGTTCAGTATGCCACTGCCTGGCGAATTGGCGAGAGAAAGCGGAATAAGGCACACGGAATTTTTCACTATCCTGTTGGCTGTTCGCTCTTTTATAAGCATTATAGCTCACAACTGAGCATGATAACATCCAAGCTGGTGGTCGGATCATTTGTTACAACGGAATCTCAAGGTACAGGTGTTGCTCATTTCATCCAACGTCGTCCCAAGGTACATTTTCGGGAGATTCATTCGTTAAAAATGCTAAAAGATGGAGCAATTGTGAGGAAGCTTAAAGTCATTATTGATGATAGTTCGTGGGAAGTAATACAAATATCCGTGGGACAGTCTCCTTGGGACCTTCGTCTATGAGCGGGAGTCCATCAATAGGTCTCCTCCGCACTGCCGCGCGTCATCCGCTTTTGTACAGTTGTGTTAAAAGAGCAAATGAACCATCATCGTATTATCCCATCGTTAGGGCCATTGTCATGCACAATAAGTAATAAGTTCGCAGGGAGAATTATGGTATCCATTTTTGGTTTTATACTACTTTACGCTATTCAGCCAGTTTCAACTTCCAACACTTCCGAGCCAGACACAAATTTTACTCTCCAAACATGTGACAACCTGCTTTAGGTGGTCATTATTAATCGCCAGTTGGTCTGTAGCAATTCGCCTCATGTGGATGTATTGATTAACTAAGAAGATTTACTCCGTATTTAATGTGAGCCGCTCACAAGTGGTCAACGATAGGAAAAAGTAGTACGGATTGTGATGATATAGAAATATTGTAAAATTAGTGGCGTATATCTGGTCGATCTTGCTTCCAGTTGTACATGGGTTACAGCGAAGAATTTAATCGACAGTCAGTCGAGTTGTAGAATAATTGCTACAGATAATCTGACTTTACAAAGCATTAAGAACCGACACGGATAATCGAGTTGTATGCACCGGGAAAGAAGTGATAACAAGTAGCAGTGCTGGACAAATGTTAAGAGAGAAAGGAACTGTTAAGTTGATTCGGGGGAACAAGAGATAATGTGATGTTGGCATGGACAAATGTTAGAGAACTTGGTGAAACGAAAAGAATGTTCTTCAGGCAGTTCGTGCACATTATCATGCAAATTCTTCACTGTGTAACCATACCTCGACTCCTTTTTCCTAAACTGTTTCCATTTTATAGTCCAGTTTCATCTGAGTCTTGAATTGCAACACAGTGAGGTATTTGTCCAGCTTTTTTCTAAACAATTGTTCCAACAGGCTTCAACCACTGTATCCACAATGGTTCTAATTCAAGCATTATACAGAGAATGGAATAGCGTGGCGCTGGAGATTCACTAAATAAGGATTAGTGACTCGACGCTGCGCGTACTCCCGGAATAAATTAGCACGTTTCCTACAATTGATAAATATCATCGAACAGACGGCGCAAGTAGAACGTGAAGAGTTGAAACTTGGAGTCACGCAATTCAAGTGCTTTGAAGATTAGCCTCACTGTTTTGCATGCTTTGGTTGCTGTTAATTCGATCTGCTCAACCAAACTGAAGGCGCTTTAAGCTTATATATATATATATATATATATATATATATATATATATATATATATATATATATATATATATATATATATATATAATCAGTCCAATAAGTGGACAGTAATTTCCAAAACATCATGTGAATTAAAAGAAGAAACAAAAATAAAGCGCCTCAAATTTGTTAGACATGTGCGTACGGCTTTTTTTTCGTTTTTACTATTCGCCGCATGAAATACGCGAAGTAATACATTTCCGCACACAGCTTTTCCACTGATTCCGGCTGTTGGCCATATCTTCAAGCTTGTTAATCCACTGACACACCCTATCCTTGGGTCCCTATCCGAGAGGAATTGCAGGTCCAACGGTGGCTAGACGTGACGCCAGCGATTTCATGTGATATCGCCAGGTGGAAGATTAACGAACCCGCGGTCACCAGCAGCCCCATCCTGGACGAGCCAACAGAGCGCTGCACGACAATCGCTCAGGCGCCATGCGTAGGACGTGACCGAACAATCTAAACTAGCGCAGCAAAACCAGCTTGTTAGATGGAATACTCGCATTCCCCAAGATGGGATTTTGAACGTCATGACCGTGAACTCAGTGTTGTTACCGTGCACGAGCGATCCTCCTCAAACAACCGTTGTCGAAGGCGGAAAGATGACGCATGTCCTCCACGCAAATTGGCCAGGTCGCGCTCCCATACAACAATGCTGAACGAACAGATGCAATGTAAACGCAGCCCTGTAATCATAGGCTGTTGAATACACATTTATGGTAGCACACTCAGCAAAACACCTGTTGTGAAGTCCAGCTCAGCGACTCATCTAATAGTCGTCATAACATTAGGAGGGATAGCGCACGTTGAGACTGATGATCAGGGTCATCATTACCTGTAAACTTGGCTTCCTCAGTGCACTTTAACTCCATCTCGAGAGGCGGTGACTCCTCAAGAAGGCGAGTAGCAGTAGGCCTCACGAGAATGAGCCAAGTCTCAACACTGCTGTCTTTGTCTTCCACCAAAATTTTAACATATACGGCACTGTTGTTTGCGCACCAATGCACAAAGCCTATCAGCAAACTGATAGAACTTCGGCTGCTTCAGGCCTCCATTTCCTGAGACCTCATGAAGGTAACCGATACCTGGTGGAGTGAGGTGATCACTGACGCCGAAGTCTTGTTACCTATAGTGTACATGTTGTGTAACCATAGGCCGAATAGAGAACATAGTGCACCACTCTATTACCGGAATGAGTTAGATCTTGATCCAACAGATGAACCAGATGTCCAAATTGTCGACACATTTGGTGCTGTTTTGACCTAAAGCGTGATGACATACGTCTAGTGGGTGTCGTGTACCGCCCTCCGTCTTCCACTTCAGAAACGGACAATTGCCTAGCCTCCACTATGAAAGCCATCCTCACAAAGTCACACCCTCCTGGTGGATGACGTTAGTCTTCGCGCCCCAGAAGCCCCATCGTATCAAGATGAAGACTTCAGAAGGCAACTGCATAAGGTAATCATTGGATTACCACACTGAATTGCCTCCCATACAAGATCCAGGAAGGGGGGGCAACCAACTATATTTCATCTCGCTTTCACTAACGATGAGCTTACGATCGATAGTTATCGATATCTACTTCTTTGGACCGCACCTATCTTTCAACAATCATATTCAAATACGTGTGTTATGCGGGGTATTCCTCAGAAAACGCAAATGTCTCTCAGATTATTACTGATTACGCAGTTCTGACTCCAATCATTAATGCAACCAACTGGTCATTTCTAGCTAAACTATCCCTAGATGTTGCGTAGTGGGATTTTGTGCAGCATTTCAACAAGTTTCTAACCAGTACTCCGAGGAACTTGCCCCAAGCACGAAGAGAGTAAAGCCATTCATACACAGCAGCACGCGGAAATGTATGCTCCAAAGAGATTCACTCCGGCGAAAATACAAGGCGCCGAAATATGAGAACCTTACGTTATACGACGAAATCATTGTGTGAACCTGGTAAGCTAGGATAAGGTAAAGCGTCAACAGGATCTAACTGAAGAATTTGCCTCAAATCCCAAGCTCCTTTACGGGCATTTTATCAAGTCCCTAAAGTGCAGCGAGAGAGTCCTGCCCTTTGTAAGACAAATGGACCAGTTCAAACGGCTACGGAAGTGGCTAATACACTATGTCAGAAACTCTTCCGTAACTTCCAGAATATGATTTCGTTGTCTCCGCTTTTGATGCTAGTTCTACCGCCGCCAAACCTAGCCATGTATCGTTTACGACTGCAGATGTTCTAAAAGGTAAATTTCCGTACGCGTGTATACCTCTCTTGGTGCGGATAGTATCTGACCAAACTCCTTGAATTTAACTGGAATGGATTTAGCATTTCCACTTTCAGTTCTTCCAACGATATCTGGACGAAATGTGTGCTCCTACTACGTGAAAGCACGGAATCGTCAATCTCATTTACAAGGGGAAATCTCGCAGACCTGGCCAACTGTCGACCTTTAGCACTACTTCCGGTGCTATCTAAAGTCACTGAATTTCTTATTGCGGAAGCGCCCATAAATTCCCTGAAAGGACGCAAAATCACAGCACTAGAACAACATGGATTCCGCCCGAACCGGTCTTGTACCACAAACCTGCCATTTGCTCGTTCCAGTTGGACCGAAATCGTCGAAAGCTGTGTGGGAAAGGACGCAGTTTATCTGAACTCAACCATCTGAATTGCCGCATCCTCATTCACAAGCTTCACCTCCGTGGAATAACTAACCTAATTCTCGGTTGGATAGGTAACTTCATGATTCAACTTCATCTGAATGTGAGTCAACAGCGCTATGTCTGATCCTGTCGATGTTTATTGAAGAGTGTCACAGGGCTCTGTACTTGGCCCATCCCTATTCCTGATTTACATAAATAATCCCGTGATAGTGCTCACTTCCGATTTCTTACTCTTTGCTAATGATCGCTACATGTGGCTGGCCACGAAAACAACGCGTGACCACGTAGCGCTTCAGGATGACTTTGATAGGGTATAAGAATTGGAGACTCAGAAACTACTTCATTTCAACGCCATCAAGTGGAAGACATTGAGCGTACGCCATCAATCCACTTGCAAGTAAAGGCTGAGGGATCAAGCTTTGCAGCGTGCTGCTACTGAATGCGATCTGTTCAATTCAGGTCGAAAAGGCGTCCAAAAATCTAAGCAACACCTTGGCTTTCACGGAGATCATTCGCGCGTTTGACGCTTTAATGGTCTCTGATTCTCAGTGCTAACAATAGGCCCAATTTGGAATAAACCATTGCTACCTGGTAGCCAGGGCACAAGCACGAGTTCACCGCAACTGCAGTACCACAACAGGGGGCAATCGGGAACGTAAAGGACCTGCCTCGTCTCCCTTTCAAACTGAGGTTGAATACGCTTAGCATCTGCAGTGCACAATATCGACGCATGTGTAACGAGGGGATAATGCAATATTTGATGCTGAGAAATCCAAACCACACTTGTCGTCAACTTCTGAATCTGAATCACCCTGTCACTTTCTGAGGTCACCAGCTGAAGTTGACTACGCAGTATAGACGGTGGAATGTCTCTGGAATTTCCTTTCATTTCCTGTTTGCCAACCATTGAATGCCCCCTCTAGTTACGCTGTTTTTTCCCCAAATTAACGGTATTAAAAAACGTCTTGACAATGCAGTAATACATTTTTATTACGTCATATAAAGCGCCAACCTAATACTGACAAACAACGTACTATTTCAATTCCTGGACATCATTTATTACAAGCTGCTGCTGTGGAAACTGCATTAACGTATCCTGTCGGTCCAAGGAAGCTGCACACGAGTGAACGTAGTCATTTCCATTAATTTGACCCCGGATCAAGACGCACAAGATACTGAGATAAAACTGAGCTAATTCCTGACACTGTTTGGGACATGGCCTTGGTTTTTACCCCACAAGGTAACAGATCGTAGACTTCATTCGGCGGTGTGGATATCATTTTCCATTGAATCAAAATGTAGTAGAGCCCAGGTAATCTCCGACGAGTAAAAACAGTTTGCCTATTCGAAGTTAGAATCACAGGAACCTTCAACCAAAGACCTACGCAGTCGAATCCTACTGAGTCTGTGACTTGTTGCTCGAAGGTTGTTTTGCTTTAAATGGGTGATCCTGAACCTTGGGATAGTGGGTGTGCTTTCCTGTCGTCAGATCCGAAGAGTGCAGCGATGTTTCTTATGATAACTTTTCCTGGGTTAGAGATAATGTACTTTTCTCAAACGCTTGTGAGCAGCAGTGAGTTAGGTTGCGCTGCCGCATGTTTCGGTTTAGCATGAAGAGCACTAAGTGCCCTTGAAATTGTTACAGAGCAAGACTCAACGGAGCCTAAAAAGAAATAATTTTTCGCACGCGTTAAGATTCACTTGCACCAGAGTGGAAAGATGTTTGGACTGAATCCTGAATGTACTGAAGAATAAAGTGGAATAGACAACTAGATATTGACCCTATCTGCAATTAAGAAGGCCCGTATCCCAAGCCACCTGTTCAGCCGTTCACAGATGACGTCAGTGTGCGTTACAGTCCTCAGCCAGAGTCCTACAAGAGCAGGTATCAACGTCTCTATGTCTTTCTCTTCCTTTTCGACAGTCGTACTGTCTATGTAATCCGGGCTATCGAGGTGAATCATGCAGCCAGTGGGTTGGTGAATGGACAGAATGGTCGGCGTGGGACAGATGCTCCCCAGCATGTGGAGATGTGAGGTACTCTGTCCGATCTCGTGATTGTCTATCGATGAGACCGGAATCTATGGAGAAAATTGAATGCCTCGGTGCTTCTATTGAATACGCTGAGTGTGATGAGCATCCATGCGCCCGTAAGTCCACCTACTAATATTCATTTGAATACTTCGAATTTGTTTTTCCGCAGGAACCGAAGGCACCTTTGTGAACACCTACTTTTCCATCCGACAAAATGGAATCGCCGCCAGCGTAGTTGCTGCAGCTGTTGCTTGTGCGGTGATTTGTGGGGTATGGTCTCTCTTTTGTTGGAGCATCGTCAGTCGGCTGGTGTTGGGAACATATCGCAAGTTTCAACAAAGAGTGGGTAAGTTTCTTTACACCATGTTTAAATACACTCAGCAGTTGTGACAGAATTGCTTGCAGATCGCAGTAACAGTTAGGAGGGTTATCTCTATTATGCCCCGATAGGAGGCGTTTGCATTCCTAGAGGTTACAAAGTAAAGCGGAGTCCTCTGCACATATAGTGTAGTAAACTGCATTATATTGTCGGGGTGGTCATCGATGTTTGTAAGTCATCCGTAGTGGTGACATACGTCCGCACTCAGACCCTATGACAAGGTAGCTCAGGTGGAGCAGGTTTCCATAAAGGCAAACCGAGTTCGCTCACCCAATGGGAAAATTTGTTTATGTTGCCTGGCTCCGTTATAAAGAATGCCTTGATAAAGTTGGTAACTTTTCTTGTCAGATGAACGGGCAGTGACAAACCATAGAGAAATAGCAAGTTATTTAAAGTTAACCAAATATGCCACATTTTTATTCATCTCGGAGAAACAGAACTGATGAGCGTTTTTCGTGATTCTGTGGCTTATGCGTAAAGTCTTTAGGTAGTAGACGCTAATCCTCAGTGCTGTTCGCAGTCCTTCGAGCGCTAACCGGCGAATTCAGGCAAACAAGAAACAAGTTTTGGAGTGCAATTTTCTAAGTCGATAACAAGCAAAACTCATCTGTTTTAGCTACGATTCAAGTGAATGGATTAGCTGCTATTCAGCCCCAGGTCAACTGCAATTCTAAATGAGATTACACAGATAATTCCACTTACACAATGGAGTGCTTCAGCATGCCCCCGCTCCAGGAGAAACCAGCTTAAAATCCATTTTTAATTGTAAAACTTTAAATCTTTTTGATTTCACTGGAGGAATGGAACACAGTTATAAAATTGGGGAATCATTTTTGAGTCGGATTAGGTCAGGAATCCGTTGCGTCCTATTCCGACTGTTCAGCAACTTAATCCGCTGAGACCTGGATGATGACATAGATGCCATTGGGCATTAGTGCCAAGGCTCCTGCTCATCCAAGGACAAAAATTCTTAGCAAATATAGTACCTCCTCTTAACTCCGCGTTACACGTGTGTTGCATATTGGAATCTGTGCCGAAACCAGCGGCAAACTTTGCATGTGTCCTCTACCACAATCATTATATGTAAGTTATACTTTGCTTAATTGGAGCACAGTAAGGAAAACAGCCTTCAGAGCATCCACAGCTCTGTTCCAAGCTAAGTTAGTCCTCAAACTATTTTATTCGTAACGTACACACCATTTAGCCATACTAGTATTTGTCTTTCTAAGTTTGTCTCATAGACAAGTAAGACGACTATTCTAGACCCTATCTGCTGACAGTTTTTGGGGTCTACGCAAGTTTACTTAACCATTAATCTAAGACTGGCCTGTTGCTCAGTCTGCATGATGGTTCGGACAATGAATGTTGCTAGCAGAAACCAGGACCGGGGTCGAAAGATAGCCTCAAGCCGGAATTTGCGGACAGCATCAAAGGCAGTGCAGGATTTAAGTCGAGGGTAACATAGATTAATGACGTTCTAAATAGTTGGCGTGCAATGGAGATCGGTGCGAGACGACGGAGAGGGGAACGAAAGTGTTCAACAGTCTTAATGGAATTCGCGATTTCTGCAACGGATCCGATCCTGCTCATTTGCCCAAGCCGAAGTAGGAATTTGTCTTAAGACTTTACTCAGATCCTTTAGCTCGACAGCCTACGCGCAACCAGCGGAGCGAATTCAGAGAATCACGCTACTTTGGAACCGGTGATAGATTTCTCGGTCAACTGCGTTTGGTTTGGTAAGGTACCAGACAAGGGCCCAATACCTATAATTACAGCACAAGGCTGTTGGAATACAATGTTTCGCGGGGTGAAGCAACAGGCAATGACTTTATTCAATGACGAGTCACATCCGCCACGTCACAGTGTCGTTAAACAGACGGCTGATTTTAACGCCTTCAGCCTTATGTTGTCCACACTAGGGGTGCTGGGCATGTGCGAGGAGAGTAGTCTTTAAGTAACATTCGCAGCAGTGCACAATACTTGGCTTAACAATGGGGCCGAGTAAGTTGTATCAAGAACGGGTGAAGTAACGTTTCACTTTAGAAAGTGCAGGTAAACTGTTGCCGAAGCATGTTAGTCGCAGCTTTTGTAGTGGGCGCCAAGTCGGCAGGTGGCTGAGTGGTTTGCACGTCTGGTTTGTAATCACAAAGTCATCGGTTCGAATCCGCGTAGAGATGGATATCCTCGAGATGGTATGGTGGTGGGGTGGCAACGAAGCGCCGTTCCGGACTATGGTTAACGATTATTATTATTATTACTATTATTATTATTATGTGTCATTGTTAGTATTATGAGCGCCAGACTACCTAGTGCATGTGGAATTGGGATTCCGCGTTGCGCTCGTCGGAGCTTGCTGAACTGCCTGTAGAGCAGGTTAGAATTAGCACTAAATTTCGTCCTTAAGTCTTGTTGGTGTTGAGTTTGTCTTCACGGAATAACCTGATGCAATGGTTGCTGTGTTATGTAGGTACTTCAAGCCTGCACATCCGGTAGGCTTTATAAGTGCGCCAGCCTAAATCCGTGTGAATCAGGCATTTTCGTGTCCGGCTTCTCAGGAAAGACATCATTTGTTTCGGGCGGAAGACCGTTTTCCGATACATTTTACACCAGCTCGGTGAACAGAGTGACAAATGCCTTCCAGGCGACGTCGAGAGTCTGCTCAGCTGGACAGGACCGTTTAGTTTCTTGAACGAGGTCAGACAGTGTACCTTAAGGGGTGCCGACGTGAACTTCCTCGCTGTTTTTACAGATGAATTCAGCTTAGCAGATATAACGGAAGAGCAGCAGTGCATGATCGCTACGACCAAGCGGTGCAGCTACGCTTACTGCACTAGTCATTAGTTCCTCCTTAATACACCTAAGGTCTGCGACGGGTGATTCGTCACCAATTCTGAATCTCGAGCGAGCAGAGACTTGGTTGTACAGCGGCATATCGGCGAGTACTTTTGTAAGTCCGCTTTGAGTTGTTCGCTCAGCGAAGCTGGTACTTCGACTGCATGATTATTAAAGTCCTCCACCGGAAAGACGTGGCTGTATGACCGTGCCACGTTTCGTTTCATAGCAGACGTCAAGTGGTAATCCCTTTCGAGAGTGGATCTTGGAGTGCGGTATATTATTGCAAACTATCGTACGGCTACACTTCATCATGGCTCAAGCTTTACTCGCTGTGGTCATTCTAGTTCTCCACAAACAGGTTTGTGCGTGAGCTCGTTCGAACCAGTTCTACGAGCGCTACACAGTGCTTTCAAGCTACTGGATCTAACTCGGATAGAGCACACTGTTACTCCCGTCCTCAGTTTCGTTACATTCTTTGTCGAGTTCCGCTTGCAAACCACATCACTCACCGGCTTTACGAGAATAATTTTGCTCTCATTCGGTAGAAGAGACGATGACTCTCAAATTGTCATGTAGCAATGCTTACATGTGGCCGAATAACAAAGTTACTAGATATTTTGCATTGTTTGTCTACTAAACACCTCGACGTGGCACTTAAGTTAGCTTGTCACTGCCCCGCGTGCATCATCTTGTAACGCTTCTTCTTGTGCTTGTGTTCACATCGCAGAATCTGGCAATCTGTACGCTACCGCAAGAGAGAGAGAGAGGATTTGAGACAGGCAACTTCCTCGGCGGGATGACCTTGACACCGGATCAAGCAATTCAAGGTCTTAGATAAGACTAGCCAGCACACGTTTGCATGCTCTGCTAAGCGCGCCTAACCGAGCCGCGGTGCCTAAATATGCCTTTGGAACGTGCAATAAAATGTGAAACTTGCTCACCTTATTATCATCCGAAATGCGGCAAATTTACACCAAGCGAGTGCAGGCTGATCAGTGGCAAACCCGACTCCTTTTACTTCTGTGAGCAGCCTACACTGTCTTACTAGTTAAACTTGTACTTGCACTGGCCGAGAAGTATGCTTGGTTTGCAGATGTAGTTCTGGAAATGCTAGGCAATAAAATAGCTTTGGTAGGAACAAGCACAACAGAATGTCTGCAACAGGCCCCTCTACCGAACTCCGCTACAAAGCAACACAACAACGCCGCCTGTTACACTGATAAAGTTGCTCATTGGAACATTGTGTTTCATGGGAAGAAAAGCTCGTGCTTTACATGACCCATGGGATAAAAAGAGTTCTGGTCGGGTCTAATGAAAGGCCAAGCAACCCTATAGCGGATTGGACTTGTGTGTTAGCCGGATCTTCATCGGGCTTATGCGACATTTAAACAGAATGCACGCCGGATCAAAGCGTGACATCCAACCACGATCTCCGAAACGGCTATGGAAAGGAATTAGGTGGAAGAAATAAAAGAAAAGAAACTCTCTCAAGTAGAAGGTAGTTATGTCAGGGAATATCGCGGTTTAGCTCGGCCAGATGATAATCCAGGCAGGTCTTAAAATCCGCCACGGTGGGTGCCAAGACTAAATCGGCAGGCAGAGCACTCCACGGTCGGCAGCTTCGCAAAGCGAAGTAGTGTCATCTGCAGTTCAGCCGACTGTGCTGATGTGTCAGCCTCAATGGGTGGCCACGTAGGTGGGAGCACGATTGGTGCAGTGTAAGTAGGTGGCGACAAGAATGTCCAGGGTTGGATAAGATCATAAATACGAAGATCAGGTTGCCCCGTAGACGTCGGTACTTAAGCGAGTAGAGGCCCAGGAAGTGAAGTTGTTGTGGTTAATCTAGTTGCTTGAGACCTCGGACCATTTTTGTTGCTCGATGTTGTGGGGTTTCGAGTATACGTTGGTCCTTCACCAACCAGGGGCTTCAGACATGAATAGAAAACTCCAAGTGGGGTGGAAGAAACGTGTTGAGGAGATGGTGGAAATTGCTAGGGTCAATTTGACCGAAGGGTCGTTTTAGCAATTCAACCATGCGTTTAGCAGCAGCAGCTGCTTTCCGGCACAAAGCGAATATGGAAAGACTCGTCTGGGGAACGATATCAAAGTCTTTTTCAGCTGAAGTGATCTGA